GGGTAAACGGGAAGATCTTCGAAATTACCGTCCAATATGCCTGCTGAGTGTGCTGTACAAGCTCTTCACGAAGATTATCCTCGCACGCATATCTAGGACACTGGATGAAGCCCAACCGCAAGAACAAGCTGGATTTCGCAAAGGATTCAGCTGCATGGACCACATCCAGACAGTTTCGAGGGTCATAGAAGTCTGCCGGGAGTACCGACTTCCTCTCGTCCTAACCTTCGTCGACTACGAGAAAGCCTTTGACAGCGTCGAAACCAACGCCATCCTGTCTGCGCTAGTCGATCAAGGAGTAGAACCAGCTTACGTGAGGACACTAGCCGACTGCTACAAGGACTGTACAACAGCGATGCAGCTATTCCATCGCCCCTTAACCATTCCTATTGGGAAGGGGGTTCGACAAGGCAACATTATTTCGCCGAAGCTGTTCACCGCGGCCTTGCAGTGGGTGATGAAGTCACTAGACTGGGAAGAGAGAGGCATACGAGTGGATGGGAAATTCCTATCCAACCTTCGTTTTGCGGATGATATCGTCCTTTTCTCGAGCAGTATCACTGAAGCAGAGGCGATGCTGAAGGAACTGGAATGATATCCACGAAAGTCCATAATGGAGGAAAATGGACTTTCAAGCCCCATTTTATTCGTTTGCGGTGAAGAGTGGTCGGAATCTGCTATCGCTCGCGTTGTCCAAAAATTTTCATATCATCGCAACCACGAGGCAATGCAGTGAAATGAAAATGATATAACCCTACCTGAGCTCTCGCTTGCGAAAGATGACGTCAAAAGTCCATTTAAAATGGAGCAAAATGGGATTTACCTCCAATTTAAATGGACTTGAAAGCCCATTTTAGTCCCAGCAGCAAGGTGAGCTGGGACTAAGTCCATTTTTGACCTTTTTGCATATTTTTGGTTGCGATTTTTTGAGAATGTGTTCCTTAGCCTATTTTGAGGTAATAAGAGAGTGGAAAAAATTTCATGTCTTTTATGAAGTCTGAGATACGTGTTTCTTTCTAAATTCATACAATCTTTATAAAAATCATGGAAGAAGGATAAATTTACCAAAATGTTTATTAACAACGTCAATTGCTTCCATATATCAGGTGCGAAAATTCCTATGCAAATCTAATAAAGTTTATTGACTCTCCAAATCTCAACCAAAACTCAATTTATGACTTGTGTTGGAAAATAAAAAAGATTTTCTTTTCAATATAATTACTTAGAAGCTACTTTTGACTAATCTCGTAGAACCAACTTAAAAGACTGCATTTAAAACGCGATTTTGAGTTTGGTTGCAAGAATTGATGAAGTGCCGCTAGCTAGCAAGAATAATTGTGAAAAATTTCTTCAGCAATAGTCCGTACGTTTAACTAATTACAGATATAAACATTAGTGCTGAAAGACAAAGAAGAGCTGAAGTAGTACATTTGCGAAGTCATCTTTCAAAGTCGTAGTTTTTTCCAATTTAAAAAACTCTTTGGGTTGTAGTGTAGTAGAAAGTTTCCTATAAGATAAGCATTTTAATTCACAGGTTGCAGTGCAAGTCCAGCCAAAGTTTGCTTTCTGCAGAAAGCTCTGCACGAATTTGTTTCAATGCAGATTCATAGAAGTCTTGAAAAGCGAAGGCCGGGATTTTACATGAATTTTAGTTTTGGGAGTAATTTAGATGCATAGTCATCAATGATAAATGGCATTTTAAGGGTGTAACGAAGTGGGAGGGAAAAGAATATCAACGTAACTGATATTGTAATGTTAGGTCAGCCTAGTCAGATATCGACCACTTGATGGAAATGAGTTTGGAAGAGTGAGCAAACAGGTTGAGACAAGTTGGAGAAAGGTTTGCTGAAGAAGTTTTGTATGGAATGAATGGATTCGCGAATGCGATATCTTATCGCACCGCATGGACTAAGTCCATTTTATTCGCACGAAAAGCCCATTTCGCGGGGACTTTCGTGGATATCATTCCTGAACGAAGTAGGGAAGAAGTCGGACTGCGAATAAATCGGAAAAAGACTCAGTTCATGGAGAACGCCCTTTGCGAAGATGTAGAAATGGAATTGGAAGGCACCCCTATCATGGAGACGTCTTCTTACGTGTATCTCGGACGTTCGATGAACATGGAGAACGACTTGAGGGAAGAACTTGACAGGAGAAGAAGAGCAGCCTGAGCCGCCTTCGGGCCTCTGAAGGAAGCCACCGACCAACTGACGGACCCGGAGCTTCGTGCCCACCTGTTCGACTCAACTGTTCTCCCAGCGCTCTGCTACGCAGCTGAGACTTGGGCCGACACCGTAGCCACGTCGAAAGCTTTGAGGTCCACCCACAGAGCGCTCGAGCGCAGTCTTCTGAAGATGACCCGACACAAGCAACATCTAGTCGGACTTCGCAGCACGGATATGAGAAGAATGTCCCGTCTTTGTGAGACAGCGAAATACGTTGCGAAAGCGAAACACCGATGGGCCGGTCACATAATGAGAAGAACGGACGATAGAGTTGGACACTAAGAACATCTGAGTGGATTCCTCGCGAAGCCAAACGTCCTCGAGGAAGACCACCGACGAAATGGGCAGACGTGTTTGTGGAACGGATGGACCAGCTGAGAAATCAGCTGGATACGATTCTCACCCCTGGAACTCGTGGACGCACCCACCGACGACGACCAAGAAGATCGTGGATGTCCGAAGCGAAGGACAGGGATCAATGGCAACTTCTTTACTGGGGCCCGCACGTCACGTGAGGACGGGCCATCTAAGTATTTAAGTATCTATGTAAGTAAGTAAACCAATAACGCAAATTGGTCGAGAAAGCAATTATGGCGCGCAGTGCATTTGCCAAGACTACATCTTAAGGTTGATGCAAGATTTGTTCAAAAGTCTGGGTCTAAGAATTAGGAGCCAATGTATAGTACAGTAAGTTTCGACCCGCTTTAGGCGGAAATTGGATTGGCGGGCGTCCGCGTCGCAACGTGAGAACCCAAGTCTGCGTCTCTTCATTCCCCTCAATCTTAGCTTGGCAAAATGCCAGCGCTATACGCTCGCGAAGCCTCCAGCGATGCGCACGCGCTGCTCCACGTAGGATGTTCCCCTATTTCGTGATGAAACGGACTGTATTGCCGGAAAGCTCTTTGTGCCGTATGGAAGAGCAGCTTGAAGGGACTTTGAGATCAAATTCCAAGATAGGTGCAAACAAATTTCAGCAGGCCCTGGAGTGTCACTAACAGCATTATGAAACCTTCACCAAATGTGTAAAGCGAAAAGTCCAGTAAGATACTACCCCAAAAATTTAATTTGCAGGTTGACGGCGCATTGCCTTTGATTTCGTTGCTCATAGTTTGATAAAACAACTCCTTCTTGGACTGGCTTATAGTAAAGATGGATTAAGTATTCGTATAAGAGAAATCGTGATAGTACTAGTGAAACAAGCACAAGGATGCCCTGAACAGACAGCTACCCTAGTAAGTCAAGAAATCCTACTCAGGTCTCACTGATTACCCTATTCTCAGCCTCTCTTGAATTTTTAAGCGAGCTGCTAAGTAGCATTACTGTGTTCCGGAAAATGATCCTTAAGTCGGACGACGTGTTCAGGCAATACGCAGCAGATATATGGTCTTTTGGTCGTGAAATCCTTTGGCGTGTTTGGCTGGTAAATTTCGAAAAGAACTTCCCGGCGGCTTACACCTCAAATAGGGTAATCTTAAACTCTGTATGGGAGAAAATATAAGGATATAAACATGATATACTCTGTCCTCAGTTAACTGCAGTCCATAAAAATCATTGCTTTTTTCTTGATCTATGCAAATACAGATCTTCGCTTAAACAAAAAAAAAAGATATCTTCAAAAAGAAGACCCCAGGCACTTTCCTGTCCAGAAGGATATTGTGCAAAATTTATTATGTAAATGAACGTTGCTCTGAGGCTGGAAAAGGGGTCACTAAATGCGATTTCGAGTGGATAAGATTGATGTTGTCAGCAAGGCAGTGATGTGTTCGCGCCCCTATCGCAATGTTAAACACGAGCAGAGAGTTCGAACTTTTTTTGCTTCGCGCGCACGAATGAAGAAATAGAGAGAATGAAAGGAGAAAAAGAAAGAAGACAAAGAATAAAGAAACAAGAATTCTGTTACGAAAGGTATACTCAAAAACCTAGCAAAAAACCTTTGATATTTAAGTGTATACGGATGTGAGATTTTCTTTCTCCTTCCCATTTCTTTTTCTGTGTTTTCCAGCGCTTTTGCTTCTTCTTTCAAGCTGTATTTAAGAAAAGTGGCTCAGTCATTACTTAGCTTCTTTGCAAAAAAATCTTTGATATTTGAGTATGTTGTCCAGTGTGGTACTTTTGCAAGAAAATAATGCCATAATTGCTTCTTGTATGCCAACACGTACACTTGTACCGCTGCGCCTCTTCATATACGAAACTTACCACTCACAAGGGAAGTACCAACATTAGTTGGCAATTGATGATGAAATGTATATCTTTAAACGCGTCTTTGAACGCTGATTCTAAATCTGCTTTCCTTTTTTGCGGAATAAGTTTAAATAAAAAAGTTATGAGCGTTTGAATGTCCAGATTTGCCGAGCATTGGGTAGCTTAAAATGAGCGAAAAGCTCTAAAACCATTCCTATGCGATTTCCACCGGCTTTGTTCCTTCCTTGAAAACAATAAACTCGATACAAAAATGATCTTCCACTTTCCGATGTTTTTGTACAGCTTTTCTCCAAAAAAGCCCTGACAAACCTGGACAAATGCCCACAACTTCTTTCTGAAACTTATTTCGCAAAAAAAGGAAAGCAGATTTGGAATCAGCGTTCAAAGGAGCGTCTACTGATGTACATCACATCTTCTACCGCCGACTAATTTCGGTATCATGTCCTTGTCAGAAAAGACGTTGAAAGAAAGAGTAAATGCGCACCAATTGTCCGGAGACTTGCGCGCACGCGAATACAGCGAAGCTAACAAAACAACAGTAATAAAAACTCATAAAACAGAAAAAGGACTTACTGTTTTAAATCCCTCTTGCCCAACACTACCAGTATTATCTAAGATAAACACAATAGATCTAGTTTTGGTCGTGTTCACATATTCTATGCAAACGGCACCCTACAATAATTTAGTTTCTTCCGCTTGAAGCAAAATATTGGTGACACTGAGAAAAGCAGATACCTCCGGATAATGTTTATATTTTTTGGGATCCAGGATCCTGGCATCATTTTTTTCATTGTTACAAACACATCTTCCCTTTGCCTGATCATAATGGGCTGCCTTGTTGCATAGGTCACTGAGTTTTAGAGGAGGAAGATTTGGTGGATTTCCTAAATTTCATCAAATAACTCTTACAGGCGTTTGAGATTTGCGTCCGAGATGTGAACTACTATTGCTGCGCCCAAATACGCTCGAAGCTCTCGATTTTGATACCATTCGAATGATTATAACGCGATTCTTGCTGTGCTTGTTCTCACAAGTCATTCACTTTGTGTCTTTCCAAGATAATAAAGGCAAGCCCACCTCTTTCTTTATAATATTTTCTCGAGTGATTGCTCAAGAAAAACATGACTGGCCCCAATTAAGCTCGGTGAAGCTAAGCACAGAGAGGATTTTTAGCCTTATCCATAAAAAACGATATTTTACGAGACTGGGAAAGAGTGCACGAGCAGTGCAGGTTCTTAAAAATGTTAAAATCTTCTTGTCTGAAAGGATTTGAGCTTGTATTTCGATGTCGGGGGACGAAGACGTTGGAAACAGAAATGTCATATTAAGTGGATGTTTTACATCTTTCAAAAAGCTAAAAAAGGGAGAAGAAGAGAAAAATTGCAGATCGCTTCATCTCAGCTATAAAGTTGATTTGAAAATTCTGTTGCTTTGTTTTTGAAAAACTTGTAACTGCTCCCTATGAGAAAAATCATCGATCGCTTTATGTCAGTTATGAAGTTGATTCAAAAATTCTGTTGCTTTGATGTTGAAAAGCTATGACTGCTCCCTATGTGAACGTATGGACTTATAAAAATTTTTTCTAGGAAGAAAAATTCATTTACTTCTTGATAACGTCTTCGATGCTCTCATCAAGCGACTGCAGAGATGAAAATTAGGAAAGGAGAACCACTCAAACTCCCGATTTCGGGAAATAAATCGTCAGAAATCTGGAACGCTGCAAAAAAAATCTAAAAGCATATTTCCTAAGGTTTCTTAGGCTGCTCTTTTCTAATGTGCCAAGCTTGTGCTAATCGAGCTTTTCTATGAAAAGTTATGATTTTCAAGAAAAGTGCGAAAAAATGCAAAATCAAGTATTTTTGGCGTTTTTTGCATTTTCTTCGAAAATATTAACTTTTCATAAATAAGCTCGATCAGCACAAACCTGGCACTCTTAGAAAGAGCAGCGTAGGAAACCTTAGGAAACATGCTTCCAATTTTTTCCAGATTTTTGCAGATTTATTTTCGGATCGGAAGTTTGAGTGGTTCTCCTTTTCTAACTATTAACTCTAGAGTCTCTTGGTGTCGAAGAGCAGCGAAGATTTATTGAAAAATAGATAAACTTCTCTTTCTTAAAATATTTCTTGTAAGTCAATACGGTCACATAGAGAGCAATTACGAATTTTTCAAAATCAAAGCAACAAGACTATTAGACCAACCTAATATTCAATTTATCCTGCAATGATTTCTGCTAAAATCTAAATACTAACATAGCAATATTTCTCCAAAAATATTTCTACAATGTTGAAATTCAATGGTTTTAACAGCACCACACTAACATACAAACTTTTGATATCGAAAACTTTCAAGGGATGTTATCAGAGTTAACTGTGGGGTCAGGTGCCCGACTTGTGGGGTCGTATTGGGGGTAAGATTGAGGGGGTGGGGTTGTAATCAAGGACCGAATCCTTTCGAATAATTGAGGAAATCCTACGATCAAGTAAAGTGGGAGAAAGCGCTATATCTGTAATCACAACTCCGACAGAACTTAAGGAATGAATGTCATACTGATTGACTCCACACTCCACCATCAGACTATCAGCCAGATTTCATTTTTTCAGCTCTTGTTAAACACCAGTGCGTCACCTCTGCTTCGCAGAGGCTCGCACTGGTTCCATCATCTGTGCCTTGTTCCTGCTTACCCAATAATGGCTATGAAACTCACCGCGCAATGCTGGCCATTAGAATGAATGGTACACAATTACTCATTTCTCAAGCTTTTCCATGTAGAATCGGTGATTTTGAGAGGGGAAAATCTTTGTGCAGGGAGATAAATGCGAATTTGAATTGGTTACCAAATTTATAATGTCTTGTAAGTTGCTATAATGGCAAGACTACCGAGAGCTAAATCTCTGAGCAAAAATCTTTTTGATTCCCTTCGTAGAACCTTCGCAAAACGACCATCTATGCAATCATCCTTTTTGGCGCCGTTTTCTCAAAAGAATGCAATTTTTGATTATCTTTTCAAGCTTCAATGGCTCTAGGAATACATGCCAAACGACTCTTTAATTTTGCAAAGTCTTGGTTTAGACCCAGTTTTGTAGGCGAAAAGCCGCATGGATCCATTTGGCTTACAATTTCCACTGGTTCCGCTTATCGAATCGGCTTGGGCTTTTGCACAGTTGATCTATATGCTGACAGGGTGCTATGGTCAAAATTTTAGCTTAAGATCTTTGCTGGAACTTGCTCTGTGAATTTCGTGACAGACAGACATTCATTCACACACACACACACACACACACACACACACACACACACACACACACACACACACACACACACACACACACACACACACACACACACACACACACACACACACACACACACACACACACACACACACACACACACACACACACACACACACACACACACACACACACACACACACACACACACACACACACACACACACACACACACACACACACACACACACACACACACACACACACACACACACACACACACACACACACACACACACACACACACACACACACACACACACACACACACACACACACACACACACACACACACACACACACACACACACACACACACACACACACACACACACACACACACACACACACACACACACACACACACACACACACACACACACACACACACACACACACACACACACACACACACACACACACACACACACACACACACACACACACACACACACACACACACACACACACACACACACACACACACACACACACACACACACACACACACACACACACACACACACACACACACACACACACACACACACACACACACACACACACACACACACACACACACACACACACACACACACACACACACACACACACACACACACACACACACACACACACACACACACACACACACACACACACACACACACACACACACACACACACACACACACACACACACACACACACACACACACACACACACACACACACACACACACACACACACACACACACACACACACACACACACACACACACACACACACACACACACACACACACACACACACACACACACACACACACACACACACACACACACACACACACACACACACACACACACACACACACACACACACACACACACACGCAAACAACCCTTAGCCCGTTATTATAAGTTATGATACCGTAAGGTCAGCAAAGAGGCTTGCTGTGTAAATAAATTACATGCTATCCGTGATCAGCGCCAGATTACTTCTAAGAGCTCTACTAATCATTACCTATTACATTTTCTAGTGTTCCTTTCTCAAAAGGGTGGTATTCAAACGTGATTCTTATTTACAAGAGTGAATGTCAGCTTTTTTATACTAATAAAAGAGTAATACCCCATGTCATTTCTGTATAAATTAGACCTCATATCGCTCTCATATTGGATTGAAAAATGTGCCATATTTTCTATTACCCCGTTTTCACTTTGATTGCTTCAATCCCACCAATCACCACAAAGCTGAAACAAGTCGATTTAAGCTCAAATATCTAATGTAGAATCTTCGAGGTTTGTGCTAGCAAATCACACAAAAATTGGTTGGAAAAGCTTCTTCGGAGATAAAGTTAATGGGGTTGGGCAGAACCCTCAAAGCTTCAGGCTGCCTAGGCTTTTGTGGAATTGTGCTTGACCTCTTTAACACGTTTCGGCCGGTGCTGCACTTGGGGCTCCTGAAGAAAACTCCTGCAAATTGGGCGCTGTTTGCGGGAGTTTCCTTTTTCCAAGGTTATCATCAAAGGCCTAAGCTCCTCCTTTTCAAGTGACTCTGTAAGGCTGTGCCGCCGATATTTGTTTAGAAGATATGAGGACAAGTCGAGCAACTTTTGCAACGAAGTGCGGCAACGCGACGACGCGTGCAACGTCGCAACTTTTCTTTACTTTTACGAATTCAAAGAGAAAAAACGTAGTTCCAATAATGGTATGTATCGTGTACAACATAGATACTTTTGGATACAATTAGAAACTGAGTTCTTGTTCCTATCATTCAGGAAAGCACAGAAGTCCCTCTCAGGCGACCAAATTTGAACACTTTGAATCCATTCAGAACTTTGGGTATGAATCTTATCTGACATGCTGATTACAGATGTAGCACACAGTCTACAAAACACGGTCCTTTTCTTGGCAAATGGCTGAAAGTGCACTGTTTTTCGCCGCGCGATTTCGCGGTCCGAAACGTGTTAACTTGTCTTCAAAATTCAAAAATTGTTCCAGTCTTGGCACAGATATTAACACGGTGCTCATATCTCCTAAACACGATTTGTGTTCATATCTCCTAAACAAATATCGGCGGCACAACTCTACAGAGTCCTCTGAAAAGTAGAAGCCTAGGCATTTTAATTGATAATCTTGGACTAAAAGAAACCCTCCTGTAAACGTCAAAAAGATCCTTTATAGCAGGGTGCTGCACCATGTGCAGCACCGGCCGGAAACGTGTTAAGCTCATAGTCTCTTCTTGCTACAGTGAAAATTTGCAGCCAAACACTCCATCCCGGAGAAATTATGCTTTTTCAATAGGCCCATTCAGATCAAAATCCGCCGTCAAATTACGTGAAATTGTAAAGTGATGTCACACAAAATCTGAAGTGCGGACTTCAAAAATCCAAAACTTTGGACAGGACAGTGTAATATCTTCCAGAATGTTTCACTTCAAGTACCAAAGGTGAAGGGGAGGAAGAAGGGGTCGCTTGGAGCTCTCTGGGGAGGAGGGGTGAGAGAGGGTGCGTTTTCGAAAGACTTGTGTCTGACCTCCTGCCCAGCTCTGGTTATTATTGTTCTAGGTGTTCAGCATTACATGCTTGCA